CCAAACTTTAAGACTCCAAAAATAAATTCCGTCACCTACACGTCCCATCTGTACTCCCAATATGACTACTCGTAGGTATGGGCTTAGCAAAATGAAGAAATTGATAGGCACAGATATAGGTCCAGGACAGCTTCGTTCTCGTGGACAAAAATTACTTTAGGGGCCAATTCACGACACTAACTCACGATTTTAGGAAGTCACGTGTCAAAAGTTAATACTTACAAGGGTAGTGCACAAGCTTACCTTGACACACTTTGTTCGACTGACCGTTTGCTTCAAATCATATATGCCTCGCAGGAAACTTCGAAGCCGACTTTCAAATTTTGACAAGGAATACAAATTTTGGAAAACTCGAAAATGTCGAGAATGAAGAAAGATGGGTCGCGAATTCCATTGAATGGTTCTCTGCCAAATGAAAAGACCTGACATAACAAAACCCATCTCGCGCCTTTTCCTAAGACTGTTCCACTATTGCAATTCTACACTTTTACTGTTCTCCTACAGATTACTCCAATTTCGCCACATTTTTCATACCAGATTGGTCCTTCGGCAACCGTCGGAACCTCCCTTCCCTGCGTAAGCTTTGCGTTCCTCCTCCACTGATTCTCCTTTGCTCCCTCTTCTCCTTCTACAAGGTGCTGCAGTGCTGCAACACCTTGTAGAATGACCGGAGGTGTGCTACATACAGTCAAATGTGTTCGCCGAAGCGATTTTTAGTGCTGGTATTTTTTCTCCTTCAGAGCAACACCCTCCAAAGATTGATATACCATGTTTCTCAACTCCAGACGAATAGACAGACATACAGGGTGGCCAAAGAAAGAGGCGCTTCACTCCACGTTTCAGACAGCATCCCACTTCGCGAACTGAAATTCGACGCCTCCGCAATCATCGAATCCCTAAATATTCGATAAACGTTAAAACGCCTTCAACGTCATTACACAAGAATTTGCCATGGAACCTGTGCAACGTGAAGAGCACATTCGTGTTCGACGGAGAATGGACTATTACGACGTTATGGAAGGCTCAGTCGATAAAGAGTCCTGCACCATCCAGAGGCTACTGTCCCTAGGAAGCAATCTAACAGTTAATCCGATTAAAGAAATTTCATAGCAGCATCAGGCTGGAACGATTATCATAGGCGTTTCTGAACTAAAAAGTGATCGGAAATGACGTCAAATTTTGAGGACGATGAGGGCCATGGAGGAGAGCATGCTTCTACTCATAGGAGGACATCTGAGGGATTTTTGTCATAAAACTTTCATCAAAAGCGGTACCCTGTGCGAGAGAAAGTTTGATGACGTGTGCCATAGGCAAAGTGTCTTTTGACCATCCCATCACGGACAAACTCACTCAAAAGTGGTTTAAAGGAGGAATTCACGATTAGAATGAAGGTCGAAGAAAGGGAAACTGACCTAGTTGAGGGACCCACGGACCTCCTGAGGGTGCGAACTGACGCGCAATTCGCATGGAAAAATTTGACCTCGGCGACCTATCATGCCTCAAAGCTGGCGGGTCCGGCGATCTCCGCCCACCGATCATCTGATCACGTAGTTCAATACGTGGCGAGTGATTAGATAGCTGAGAGAGCGTAGTGTTGAAGAGGGCACAGCGATGAGAGTCGCATCAATGCTCAAATCAACGGGCAAGGAAGGGGTCCCATTTCTCGGGTTCTGGGCCGTTTCTCATGGTTCTTCCTTCTTTCGTGCATTCCAATCCCTATTTAATTGAAATGGTTGCTTTTTCATCGTGAATTCGTCCTTTGAATGAAGTGGTTTGGATCCTTTTTACGAGTGATACCCTTCGCATGATTTTGCACTACACCAATGGGAACTGGTGGGATAACGCTCAGTAATAGCCTACCACAGCACAGAAGCCGCGACTAAATCCAGCAATTCTTGCATGGTAGTCGGATTCACAGGGTCGATGATCTTTTGCGGATGCGATGAATCCGTTATGGAATCAAAGGTCGGTGCAAGAGGTATAAAAGAGCTGACCAACTGTAAACTTTCCCATTTTGTTCTGGATCCTCTGGAATTGGTGGTTCGTTTAGGCTGCCTTACACCCACCTGTCGTTGGCTACCTGTGGGCGTTTACGATAGTCAAAAAATTTCCATCTCAGCCATTCCTTGTTTGAAAATGGATCGCTTTTGCTTGCATTTTTAATATGTGGTTCGATTGTTCACCTGCAGAAAAATATGAATCATATCCTCATTTGAAAATTGCTGTTAATTCTTGTAATCAGTAAAACTTTCAGAATGATTACCGCCATCATATTTCTTGCCATCGCCGGCACAGTACTTTGTGCCCCACCCGAAATGGGTGGTGACTTCAACATCCAAGTGGAGCCTCCCAGTGTGAGAACTGCAGGGAAAGACAGAGGACCACCTCAGATGGGCGAATTCAACATCCAAGGAGGACCTGGAAGTGGTCCTGGTCACGAAGCATTCGGACATCACGGACCGCCCCCACCACCGTACCTTGGAAATGTCAGTGACGAAGCTCGACAGGAGTACTTCACTATTGTTTCGAACACAAACAACACGATCGCCCAGCAAAAACAAAATGTACTCGCATGGGCTCAAAAGAATGGAGTTGAGGTATGAATTTTTCTAATATTGAAAATAATAGATATTTTTGTGGTATACTGCCACATGACTTTGCTTACCACGCTCACCTTCGGTGACCAAACCCAAGATCGAATCCCACCTAGGTCGGCCTAACCGTTTTCAAGGGTGGGCAAAATCTGATATATATGCATACCAAGCCATGCTGTAATCGCATCGGCTCAAAAAATGGAGTTGGGGTATGAATTTTAAAATGTCGGATTAATGGGAATTTTGTGGCACAGATGGGGTAGTGGCGTGTGGCACCGCTTATTATTCACTCTCGGAGATCTAACTCAGGATCAAATTCCGTCCAAGCTATGTAAAGCCAAACCTATTTTTAGAGGTGGACGAGAGTCTGATAAATGCAGGGTCAGCCACTACAAATCATTACACTGAATGCATAAACTCCAAAGAATCGCTAAAATATTCAATGTCAGTAGAACTTAAGCTGGCTCACCTACTTGTTCTCACACTTAAGATATACATAATTGTGTTCTCCAGAAGCGTACATGGTGTGCTGACAATAGCCGTCAGTCCTCTGGGACTAGGTCACGGGTCATATTTCGGGTCGACTTTTACCCGGACCAGGCGAAGCTCCAATCTTTTATTTGGAAACCACTCCACCTAGACGGGTTGAGAAGGGCAACTTATGTGTTCCGTTTCCTTAGGTTCACGAACAGGCTAAACTTATTCAAAAGCCGCTGCGATTGTGAAGGGAAGTTCTCGGGAAAAGGGACCGATTACTGTAAATAGTAGCTTTTATGCTATGAGTTAGGAAACCTTATATGGTATATAATCCATAATACAGCAAAGCAAGGCAGCAACTAAGTGCGCCCTCCGCACCTACGTGAACGCGATCCCAAGTTCTACTCCAGGAACAACGCCGTGATAATCAACTGCTCTTATGAGACACTTCCTGGCCTGGGTACATGACAAAAAGGCTAGAACGGTTCAACCAACTCATTTGTAGGGGTGAAACCTTTACTGTTACGTTTCAACACTATCTAGAAGCCAAATGTCTCTGTATAGAGCAGATATGTCAACCACACCAGGCTGACTTCGATTATTTGTGTTTCTGGGTTTATGCAGAGCTGTTGTTTGAAGTTTTACTTGCTTTACAGGCTCAAGTGCAGGAGTTCAACACGAACATGACCAACTTGATGACCCAAATGAAGCAGAACGTAACATTACTGATCAACTCATTGCCGTCAGCATTACAACAGCTTCTTTCTGTTGCGGGTAATGAAACTCTAAGCCGTGACCAGCAGAAAAACGCCATGAGAACGCTGGTGTCTCAAAATCCACAGGTTCGATTTTCAATGAAGGAACGAGCTACAAAACGAACATCATTTCAATCTAGGTCTACCACATCATAAAGCTCGCAACGGCACACCTCCATCCTAGAGAACTCGGTCTTCCACACGGTCCTCAAAATTTCGCAACAGCCGTCATGGATGCACCAGAAGAAGGAAATGATTTTGGTACGTTTTGGCAACGGTTATGCTGAATTTGGCGCACTCCGCTAATGCTCATATATTTAGGCGCGGCAGTGATGGACCATGAAGATCCTGTTCAAGACGATAACTGACTGGAAGATTTTGTTGACCCGCCCCCGACAGTTTATTCCACATGGTATCCTCCACAGTATTTGCGAAACAATTCATCATTTATTATGTGATTATTTCAGTGTTAGTCTAATAAATGGGATCTTTATATCCTGAGAAATTGTACACACGCTTTTCGCCTCTTCCATCCATTTTCCTGAGCCCTTTCCATATATTTTCTCGAAATAGGGGCGAAGAAATTCGCATCTTAACAGTTCCTATTTTTCCAATATTTCCAACGAATCGGTCTGCCCTAACTTTTTGATGCATATCGAAGTATGTTGTTTATTTCGTGAGACACCACTAAGAAGGTAACGGAAAAGTGCCCTTCTGATGCGCATGTCGACAAGTTTTTTTGATATCAGAAGACGATTTTGGCCGGTGTAGGCTGGAGGGGGTTAGTTTGATCTCTGCCAACACAAACAGCTGCTTCATAACTTCTACAATGCTAACAGGGAAAACGCTAGCCATATCGAGAGTGCGAGGAAATGCTCACAATTTGTTGAGCGGGTGAGAAACATGAATCGCCGCAGAGCTTTGGCTTGATCTAATACGAACAATGTATTCTGTTATTAGCCATTTCGAGACCTGCTTGGCGCTTTCTTAAGCCTCCAGGTAAGTATAGAAAGCTTTGGGAAACCTGCTCAAGCCTTGTAAACGTTTACTGATGTACAAATGCAATCGTTGTTGGGATACAAAGCTCCTCCAATGGTTGCCGGTAGGCCGTAATGTTCACCGTTGGGGTCTTGAATTACAATCTATGCATCTACGTGAAGGAGAGATGTCACTGGGAGAAATTTTAATCTGCAAAACGTTCCCAGAACTTCATGTGAAGTTGTGCGACTTTTCAGGTCCAATTCTATCACATTTTCACCCAATTCCTGTTTAGGAGCTTGGAAATCTACTTTTCTTCAATAGAAGGCTCACATTTATCTCTTAGGGTTACTGGTAAATTGAAGAAAGAACAAATGCTTATCCGTTGTCGGGCGCGAATGAGAACCGCCCCAGCCTTCTTTTGCAGTCAGGGTTCTAAGTTTTGTAAGTCAACAAGGTCCTTTTGGCAAGACGCCGACCATCTATACGACGGGGGGTTCTGCGTTTGCTATGTGCTTTGGGTAAATATTGCCGACTGATGTTGGGCCTACAGTTAATCGTTGAAATGTTTTGATACTTATGCGCAAATCCTCGTTAATCTGAGGATAACCGTGCGTGGAAAATAATTCCTCTAATGATGTCTATATGGTTTATTCTGATCCAGGTAGGGTGAGCAAGGTTGTTCCCAAACGGCGCTGTGACTTCAACATAACAAACAACACGGAAGGATAGGCAAAAAACTCAGTTAAGACAGAGCGAAAAGAGTGTGCGTGTAGAGAGGAAAAAAACGGCATTAATGGTCTCCTGGTACTTGATATTGGTTGGGCTCGTACGTCAGGGGGGGGATTTGGGGAACAAAACTGACCTGATCTTAGAGAGCAGCTGGCCGTGCACAGAGCAAAATGTGTTAATCGATGATCATGCATTTTTGAGGCTGCGAAAACAATCATCTGAGCAGGCCAGTGAAGAGCGCATCGGATATTCAGCTGTGTCTCATGTGCAATAAGGGTTTTTCTCAGGAGTATGGTACTGAAAACTTGTGTACGTAATCCCATTGATAAAGCTTCTATGGCCAGATTTTGAGATAGAAATCAAGACACCACAAACCAATTTTCGTATCGCTTGCTCCTGATATAAGTCAGTCTGTTCAAAAACGCCGTCAGTGGAATTAGCAAATATGCTTTTTTGAATGTTGCATGGGAACCAGGAGTAGCTGAAGCATTGAAAGCAGGCTGTCCAGCAGCGTGCTTAACGCCGTTCAGGAAAGGCTTACCCTACCAGTTGTGGACGATCTGCCACGGATGGGGTGCCAGGAGTGCTTTGTGCAAAAGTGAGGACGGTGTAAGTTTACTGGGAGGTTCTGACATGAAACTGGTTTGCATGTGTTGCTTCTCAATAACGCCGACAGAATGTGACATTTTATGGCCGGGAATTTCAACTCTCAACGCCTTCATAGGTTTGGGCTACATCAAAACAGCGCTTATTTAGGCTTTTGCTATCCTCGTGACGCAAAGGTGAGGAGTCAGTTCCACGTGACAAGGAGCAGGATTCGTGGCATTCTCCTGAATAGCAGGTGAACGGGCTTACTGCGTTGTGCACACTTTCGCAGTTCAACGTTTTCCAAGAAGACCGCACGCTTGACGACAGCTGAGATATTGAGCTGAGTGTATCCTTGGGCTCGGAGTCGTCTAGAAAAGAGCTGGTTTCATAGGATGAGTGAACAGCAAGCAAATTAACTAGATAATTCACATTGCAATGCAAAGCAAACTTCATGAAGCTGTATCACCTGTATCACCTGTCGTCCCGTTGATCATCGAATTGCTCGAGCGGGCGCCAGCAACGTCTCCATTCGTCCCTGTCGCGTGCAAGAGTTGTCCAGTGGACCCTCCTCGCTCGAGGGACACGATGTCCTTCATTCCTTTCGTTCAGAGCTTTCGTGAAGAAGTCTGACCATCGGGCCGGCGGTCGTCCAGGTGTTCGTTTGACGTCCCGAGGGATCCAGTCGGTAACCGCTCTGGTCCAACGGTCATCGCAAAATCGCATGACGTGTCCGGCCCACCTTATCTTTGATTCCTTGGGCGAAGGAAAGAAAAGAAAAAAGAGCAGGATAAAAGGTAGAAATGATGGAGAAGCGAAAGCTCTCGTCGTGCGCCGAGAAACTTCCATTGGGGATGCCGCAGTATGCTGCTTCCATTAAATCTCCACTAGCATTTTGATGCATTTGTTCAACTACAGCTTACAAAACAATTCAAATACAGCTACGTTTGAGGGCGGCGTTGCACAAACTTAAAAAATATTATGTAAACAGGAAATAATAACAATTATTCCCCGTTTCAGCTCCTACGAAATTGGGTCTTATCTACCGCAAGTATGATACTTACGAGGCGGCATGGGGCGATAGAATACTCGGTAAACTCGAGCAGCATGCAGCACAGGATTTGATCCTCAAACCGTGCACATGGTGAGCAGCGCCTCTTTCTGCGACGACAGTTTCGTCCAGGAAGCGGGACACAAAATGATTTGTTATATTTTGTATTCAAGGTTGCGCCTGCTAAGAAGAGTGCTTGGAATAAAAAAAGGAATCCTTCAAGAATGTAGCTCATAGCAATTGAAGGAAGGATGCTGTGATCTTTAAAGGTACGCACTCCTATTGTTGATGGAAATCTCTGCATTCACATTTGTGGGCTCACACCTCATGAATTACCAAATAGTGGTCTTGTCCGGTCTTGATGTGCCAGAAGTTTTTAGATAAAAATGCAAATGTTATGGTGTATTTGTGAGCAATACAACCATTTGAAACAGGCGTATTCGTTTTTCGTTGGAACGTCGGATAACTGACACTCCAACTGGTTCTCCACCCTCTGGCTGTTATTAACGTTTCACGCAAGCCACTTCCCTTCTCATTGTGCGCCCTCACACTGCGACAAGTAGGGACGAAATTTGGAGGAGCAGATACATCGGCCGCTATGTTCTGCTGTGAATCTATTCATCTGGGGCTTTTGAAAAAAATGGCAAATGAATCCTCTCCTAACATCTCCACCCCCTCTAACCACTTGGATGATTGTTTCTTTTCTAATACTCCCGCTGTTGAGAGTGATAATTATTAAGAAATATGGAATATTAGGGTGAAGCCCGAAAGCGAAAATGTTGCAACAACTCATGCCTTTTACTGGTAGGATGAGTACTAGAATCGAAGTGGGGACTCCATGGTAATCACAGGCAACTCGTCCAATCAGGACTCCCTAATAGAAGAAAATCGAAAACAAGGAGGCGGGCTAGTCACAGATCTGCACCAAATTACGTGAGTATAAAGGGATGTTGCCAAGGATTTCCACTTCTCATTATTTTCATTCAGCCATGAAAACAACCACCACTGTATTCCATTCCGCTCTGGGTCAAATCTGTCAATTTTTGGTTTGAAAACAAAGTTTCAGGGCGAAATGGACAGTGTTTAACATTCTGTGCCTGTCTACCTACTATATGATGTGATTCTTGCTATTTCAGAATGAGAAGCGTCGTTGTTATTTCTGCGATGATCGGCGCTGTTTTCTGTCGCCCCAATGCCTTGGACACACCAGGCGGCAGCGGTCCTCCTGGCGGACCTGGTGGTCCTCCTGGCGGGCCTCGTGGTCCGGGAGCCTCCTGTTGGAAATCCATTTGAGCATGCACCGCCACCAGCATTCCTTGACGGTCTCAGTGAACAGGCTCGTCAAGGTTTTTTCAGTATCATGAAGAATAACGACACAATGGCCAAGAAGAAGGCTGACCTTCTCACTTGGGGACAATCGAATGGAGTCCAGGTACGCTTTGTGGCATCAATTTCTTGAAGAGATCTCAACAACTATGCCAACTAATTTTGAAACTTATATTCAATTCACGAGTCTAGGTCGATTAGGGGTTATTCTTTTCGATATTCGGACAAAAAGTGCGATGGGAACGTTACTGGAGAAAAAGAGCAATAAGCCTAACAATAAGCCACAAAACAACTACATACAGTTATTTTATGACGGTGGTATGAAGAGAGACACGGCGCAGCAAGGAAAGGAAAAACGCGAGAGAGCACGAGAGGGCGCGAACGCCATTGACAAGGACGGCAGCGACCGCAGCGGTCAAGCGAAGGCATTGGTTGTTT